GCAGCGCCGAAGTTTCAGGCAAACAAAGACGAAAGTGGTAACGAAATTACCGGCGGAGAGCCTATTGGTGTCCCTCTCTACCTCTTGTTTGACCTACTCAGCAACACAGGAGCCGGGTACGATCTTTTGCGCAAAGAGAAGCTGAATGCTCCTCTTAGAGATTTGTTGAACGAATGGGGTGTATACCTTCGAAGCTCTAGCTCCAACAATACCCTCAATGACACCAGCGAGGGTTGGTTCGGCAAGCTCGGATTGGAAACCCTCGAATCGAAAGATCGTGGTGTCTTCAACCTGACGTACGAATGTCCCGATCCCAGTGCTGTCAACCGTGGTTTTGGCTCTTGGGATGCATTCTTTACCCGAAAGTTCCAACCTGACGCTCGCCCGATCATTAAGCCCGACCCTCCCTACCTCTTCATCTTCAATGCTTGCGAGTCCACTGTCTATGACATACAGACTGCAATCAAGGAACATGACAAGTTCTGGTTGAAAGGCCAGCCTTACTCCATCTACGATATCCTTGGGCGCCGCGACGATGAAGTTGCTCGTTCCTTCATTGGTGGGACTGTCTATCAGGCATTCCTTTCTCCATATGATTATCACCGCTGGCATTCCCCGGTGGATGGTGTTATCAAACAGGTACAGCTAATTGAAGGGACATACTATGCTGCCCTGCCCGACGATGGGGCTGGACCCGATGATCCCGATTTCCAAAAGGGTGATCCTCGAGGTGCCATCATCCGCTCTCAGTCTTGGCTCACTGTAGCTGCCACTCGTGCTCTCATCTATATCGAAGCCGATGATAAAAGGATCGGGACCGTTGTGTTCGTTGGCGTTGGAATGGTGGAGGTATCGACTTGTGATATTACTGTCGAAGCCGGTCAGAGGGTCTATGTTGGAGATGAGATTGGGATGTTCCATTTTGGTGGCTCTACTCATGCACTCATCTTTGGGCCCAATGTCAAGCTCAGCTTCTTTGATTATGTCCAAGTGAATACCCATATCCGTGTCAACAAGCCCTTGGCTGGGGTTGAAGCTTAGAGTCGAGCCCGCTATTCTACAACGACGAAGTTCAGAAGTTCAGCGTGCAGCGTGGAAGGGAATCAACAATATCAAAAGTTAATCCAGATGTACGAATAGTGGCTATAACAAATTTTCTCCGAATGTAACATGAATGATTGTTTTTTTGGCTTGCGGAAGGAATCATCGGACGTTTGACACGGCGCTTGGAAGTTCTCAAAGTGCCACTCGTACCTGCACTCGTACCTGTGGATCAACGAATGATTAGCAGCATTCACAATGTACCACCACGGGATTTCGTCTGTCTTTTGCCCCCGATGTTATTCGGAAGATTCTAAGCTCCTGTACGTGCTCTCAGGAGGAACTCCTACCAATCACCTTTTAAATTTATACTCAACGTTCGCTGTCAATACTTACTGAGTACTAGTTCAGACAGATGGAATATTGAGGCTCCCATATAACAATCATCAGTTGGCCAATAGTCTCCGAGTCACTCAGTCAATATTTTTGGGCCAATGTGTTGTGAGTACTACTGTTTCTATTTTTTGTATGCAATGCGAACTTTAAGTATTGTATCATCTTTCAGCCTTTTGAAAAGTCATTCAAGGCTTCCCAAATACAACTAGATCTCCCATAGAATTGCAATACCAGGTAATGCAGTATGCCAGACAGAGACAGGTCACAGAAGTTGGAGTCTGTGCGGCACCTATCTTCTTCAAGGGTGGATTTTTGCCACTTTGTATGCAGTCCAAATCAGGCTTGACATGCCTTCGCTTCCTCATAAAAGAGCCCACCCAGGTACTGGCTCCCCCAGACATTTCTAACCTACAAAAGGCTGAAATCCGAGAAGAAAATAGTGTACTCTGTATATCGTATGTGACTAAGTCTTACTTGCAGTATTCTAACTTGTGCACTAATTAATAGTGCTAGTGGATGGCGCCTGAACAGACGAAGTCGACCCCCTATGGTGGATGGATTCCAGCTGATCCTGCGATCTGGAAAGCTTTCTTCAATGACCTCCTGCATAACATTGACACCACAAAAGCTCATGTCCCGGCAGTTCAAGCCTTCCAGGATGCTATCAAATCTGATTCCGAGTTGGTTGATTTGTTTCGCCAGACCTTCTTACAAGTTTCTCCTCAAAGCAAGGTGACTCACTATATACTTCAGCCTGTGTTTTCTAGATGCTCATCGTGCTCACCAGATCAAAAATTTTGACGAATTGCTCTACTGCATGGACCAAATCGTCGTTGCAGCGCCAAAGTTTCAGGTGGCAAAGAACGACCAAGGAGCTGAGATTAGAGAGCCTATTGGCGCCCCTCTTTACCTCTTGTTCGACCTTCTCGGTAACACCAGCGCTGGCTACTTCCTCCTGGTCAAAAAGAAGTTGAACGCGCCTTTAAAGAACTTGCTGAATGCCTGGGCAGATTATCTCCGAAGCCCGGACTCTGTCAGTGTGCTCAATGACCCTGATGAGCTCTGGTTCGGGAAACACGGAGGATTCGAGACCACCGAATGGAAGCCTGGTAGTTTCAACGAGACGTTTGAATGTCCCGATCCAACTGCTATCAATCGCGGCTTTACCTCGTGGGATGCATTCTTCACTCGAAAGTTCAAGCCCGAGATTCGTAAACAGCGGCAGGATGCTCCCTACCCAAACCCGGGACCTTCTGTTCCTCAGTCTGACCTCGGAAATTCTCAGCCAGACGGGCCTCCCCATATTCAGCCAGAGCCTCATCGTGGTCTTTTCATCTACAATGCTTGCGAGTCCACTGTTTATCGCATACAGACCAACGTCAAAGGACGTGACCAGTTTTGGCTGAAAGGCCAACCTTACTCCATCTTCGATATCCTTGGGCGAAACGACGATGAAGTTGCGCGTTCCTTCATTGGCGGAACTGTCTATCAGGCATCTCTTTCTCCGTATGACTATCATCGCTGGCACTCCCCGGTTAATGGTGTTATCAAGGCAGCCGAGCTCATTGAAGGGTCCTATTATGCCGCGTTGCCCGACTGCGACAATGGAACTGACGACCCTCGAGGTGCTCTTACCCGCTCTCAATCCTGGCTCACCGTATCCGCTACTCGTGCTCTCATTTATATCGAGGCTGATGATAAGAGGATCGGGACGCTCGTATTCGTTGGTGTTGGGATGGCAGAGATATCGACTTGTGATATTACTGCCAGGCTTGGACAGAGAGTTAGTGCTGGAGACGAGCTTGGGATGTTCCACTACGGTGGCTCAAGTTATGCGCTTATCTTTGGGCCAAATGTCAATTTCAAGGTCCTTCCCGAAGTTGGCGAGCACCAGCTTGTATTCGCACCCTTCGCTGGAGTCGAAAGAAAATCTGCCCAGAATACGTAGTATTAGAGTCCTAGTATTACGAAGAACTCAACGCTGAAAAAGTAAATATGTAGATGCTGAGCGTACCGATAGTAGTCAGTTCAGCAGTTAGATGCTGCAATGTCATTGTGAATCACCATTGAACATCAAAGTGAGAACTAGAAATGAGTGACGAGTCGAATCGAGTTCAACGCTAAGTTCGTTTTGACGCCGAGGGCGCTTATGTAATAAGCGCTCAATGTTGTCGACCAAGAGACTCAGATAAGCAACGCACCAATCTTATCCGGTCCCACCAGGTCCCACCACCATGAAGGTCTTCTGGCTATCTGCGGTCCTCTTCACTCTCACCGTTAATGGTCAGTACTTCTCCGAAGGTTGGAAGCCTGGCCAGGCTGTCACCACTGAAGCTTCTGCACCAATATCCTCTGGACGACCCTCAGAAAATAACCCACAGGAAAGCCAGCAAGGTTCCTTCAGTGTAGTCGACGGAATTCTGAATTCTTCCTCGATATCATCATTGTTCGCCAAAGCCGGCGTAAACATTTCCAGCCTCGCTTCGGCTGCTGGTCTATCATCGAAGCCTGCATACCCTTGGGACACACGGATACCATTGATCACAGACATGAATTTTGACGATTTGATTGCTAATGAGGAGCTCATTGATGATGAAGAGAAGAACAGGGCGTGGCTTGTTGTCGTGTATGTTATGCGTTGATCGACTAAACTGCTACTCTGTCATCTAAACACTTCCTCTTTCCAGTTCCACAAGTGCAACAACCCAAGGCGGAGGAATATCCCAATTTGTAGACAAGATCTTTGACGAGACGTATAACGAAACCCTTCTAGCTGGAGACTTGCCTGACCTACGTTGGGGCCGTATCGATTATCTCAATGTGACATATCTTACAACCAAATGGGGTGTTTGGCAGTGCGTACCGTTGTTCGCTTCTCATGCCGTCTGTTGCGCTGACACTTGAGCCGTGTGCTCTTACCCTTGCAGAGCCCCGACTTTTGTTATCTTACAAAACCGCGGTCAAACACTCCGATTCGTTAAACCTCAATGGCTGCGTCTTCGTGAAGGCGCTTTACGCGAATTCCTCACGAGTGGGACGTATCTTGAAGTTCCCCCTTGGGATAGCTCTTTCGCTCCGGGTGGTAGCAAGTTAGTATCGTTAATCCTGCCTCCGATTCTTCACACATCTAATTACCCAACTTATCTACTCTTAGTGAATTCGTCCTCCACTACCTGGGGCTGGTCTTGACGAAAATATACAACGTTGTAGTCAAGGTGCCCAGATGGATTCTGTATATCCTCTCCGGAAGCGTGGCTTCGTTCATCATTCAATTGTTACATCGACCATCGAAGAAGGACCAGACGTCTAAGACGCCAGTCACGTCGAGTAACACAGAGAAGACAGAGAAGACAGAGAAGGCTACCACAGTCCCTGTTCCAGAGAAATCGTCAGGTTCGAAGTCTAGTCCGACTGAGGTGAAACAGAAGAAGTCGAAGAAGTAATTGATATTATTATCATGGTCATACTTATCGTTTTGAGCCTGTCAGTGTTGTATGTACTGTTTATCTATGTGGTGAAATAAACGGACGGGGATGTATTGTGCTTATTCATAGATCCTGACGGTCCTCGTCGATTAGTGGTTAGATCATCACGTTGTGGCTATATTAGTACAATCCGTGGAGACGCAGGCTCGACTCCTGCCGGGGACACTACGTTCGTGCCATTAGTATTTTTTTTTAAAGAAGCTCGAAGCAGGCTTTCAGTCAATTTTCAGTATACTTATTGTTGAAGATCAGAAATGCATATGGCTTGCCCTTGTAAGTCAAAGAATATGTATTTAGATTAGCACTAATCATGTAGTATCAGTAGGATGAATAGATGCACAAGTATCCTTCATAGAGGAGTCCTAAAAGGTTCTAAATTGATAGAACACGACATAATTAATGTAAACAGATCTTCGTATCCAATCCTTCCTGATTCATCACGCCAAAGGCATCGAAAGCAGGAAGCCAATAACTGTTCGTTTCCAGAGTGAACGACTTCAACTGTGCAGGAGTTTGTTTCGATCCCTGCCTGCCCTTCCCTGTGACCTTCCATCTCGAGGTCACCATTTCCATCAGCTCATTCGCAAATAGGTTATCATCATGCGAGGATTGGATATACACGCTGAGGACGAGCTCCTCAAGGCGCGGGAGGTTATACCTCGCAGGAGCAGTACTAAGAAGCCCGCCACGGATATATTTCAAAGCTTTCAAGAGGTCTTTGAATACAGAACTCTGACGAGGGATCGAAACGAGCAGAGCGAGCTTCCGGACTTGCGTTGTGCTCTGCAGAATATCTAGAATGTTTGATCCCATCGGGATTGCTTCGATTGAGAGCTCCTCCAAAGGCGGTTCAGAGCGCTCGAGAAAGACTTTTAATGAATCGTCCCTTTCTGGCAGGACAGTGTTCAAAGAGAGTAGGTTGGGGGCGATGATGTATTTCAGTAAGAGGTATGAGGTACCTTCCAACCTCAACGTCGTGAGTTTCTGCAGGGTGGCTGTATACAGAGCTTGCACTGGCGGCATATTGAAACGCCATGGCTGAGTGCAGCGGATGGTGCATTCCACTAGTTCAGTGGCTAATGGGAGTATTCCAAGATGCTTCTCGGGAGTATCCTGGGCCACATCGTAAACTGTCAAAGACGACCATCGAAATCCTAGTGTTGCTGGTGTCAACGGAACACCAGTGAGCTTCACTGATCGTAATGCTGGAGCATCAGCGAAGATGTCGTTACAGGAGGTACTGAGGGATGATGAGTACACCATGTCCAGGTTGGCATCAAAGTGCCATAAGAGTTTGGCGCGTTTTATCGCGCAGGGAGTAAGATGTTTGAGAAGTTGGACGGGGACCCTCAATCGACACGTTTCCCAGCGATGAGAATGAGCGATGAGAACCCGAAAGAGGGTTTGGGGTAAGGTCTCGAGATCTCGACAAGTGAAGTCGATGAACAATGGTTTGTCCTCGGAACGTTCGAGGAAGAGGGAGAGAATCTGGACGGAATAGACCGGGTATCGTATTCGTAGGGGTAAAGAGACTGTCGTCCAATACGTAGAATCGGCGAGGACAATGGTCCTCCAAAGACGGCAAACCTGCGTGAGGGGCCACACTCCGCGATCGAAGTCCAGAACGTCTATAGACTCCTCGCTTTCTCGTACGTATTCGAATATCTGCTGCCAAAGTTCGCGCGGTACGAGCCGGGCTGGAGAGAGGACAACCTTGCAATCGCGTATGATGTCTCGGACTCGTGAGAGCTCTTGGGTATGTTGGATTAATGTGAGTTCTAAGAGCCTGATCTCATTTTGTAGATGAGGCTCTCGACCTAAGCTATACCTGAGGGTTTCAGAGAAGAACTGGGCATCGCGTTCATTAAGAGGCTGGTTTGTGTGGAAGTGATCGGCAAGGTCGGGAGTATGGATGGATTGGTGGGTTCCAGACGTGTTTTCGACGGGGTTTCCGGTGGCTAGGTATCCATATTCATCGAAAGAGAATGACATTATAGCTGGAGATCTAGTTCGAGTTGTGAAGGGCGTGAATAGTCGTGAATCGTGATAAGAACAAAGAAATTCTATCGAAACAACGAAGTACAAGGTTCATTTCAGCAGTAGAGAGATAGATTCTGTTTCACGTACAGTATTTCTTTGTGTTCAGCGACCGAATCTGAGTGGTAGTCGAGTGGCAAGAGCAGAGGGGTCATTTTGACGGTTCCGAACGCGTATATATATTGGCGCGTGTCTTGAGCGCTTATTTTCCTACTAATACCGTGATCACTGATCACTATCGGCTTGCAATCGTTGGATTTTGGCGATAGAAGGGATCCAAAGAGCTAACGTGCACTATGAGCTACCTGAACTATACCTCTGATCGTAGTTACTTTACAGGCCTTCGCCGATGCTTTTTCTGGTGTATGCAAGGCAATCTCTGGTACTTACCGTTAGCATTTCAACGTACGAACTCCCTACTATACTTACTGAAGGCTAGTGCAGGCTTGAGTGGTCCTACTTGCGCTAGCAAGCACAGTTTCTACCCAGCAAACTGACTTTATCTGGGTCAATCTGCTATTCATGCAATAGAATTTTCCTTTCGAGTTTCAACGGTGGATTGAGTCTTCCGATGAGTCAGAAAACTGACTTTAACTCGAAGTTGCTCCATTAGAATGAATGTCATGAGCCGCGCACTGGTTGAGATCTGAGACCTTGCCAAGAAATGCGAATCGATTAGTGAGCCTGAGAGCCGCAGACAGCGGCAACCTTGAAGGTGTTTTTCCCGGAAGTGCGAAGGGCTTCTGGCCTCTTCTGGCAGTGTCACTGCCGTGCAACCACTAGCTGATATTTGTTTGGTAAGATACAATGACTGATCAAGAAGCCCTTGAGCAGATGAGATGTTTAAAGTATGAATTCGCATGTATTGATTGAATGTCGCCATGAACGACGAGGAGCAAGATGGGAGTTTACCTGGCGGAAGTTCTCGACATAGAATCGTTGGCCATTTAACCGTAGTTCACAGGCGCTTATAACCGACTAACGTAATTTGATTTTGTCAGAATGACGCACTTCTTCTTTCCTTTCTTCCGACACACACAAAAGTCGAAGTCACCGGTTCTGTCCTTGGCCCATAAAAGCCTGAAATGCTCATACCCATACTCATCATCTGCTACTCTCATGTCTTCCGTCTCTCATCGCATACTTCGTAACGGCGTCCTAAATCTTCCTAGGGCTTCTCCTGTAACCAAACCGTTGGCAGAGGCTCTGCTGTTGCAGGATGCTCAGTATCATCATTGTCAGTTCAATCAAGCTGGATTTCACAACCATCTCAGTCACCAGTGAGCACAAATATGACAGATTGCTAATGCTCAATGGTCATCATGTTGTAACTTAGCATCCTCGCCGCTTATGATCTTGGAGCAACGCCTGCCCTATTGCAGAAAATATACGACGAGGAAGCCCGTATCCAACGTCCAATCATACTCGAAGAAGTCGACAAAGAAATGAAGATAACTGAAGATAACTGGACGCAGTATCTTGGGAACCAACAGTACGTATTTGGCGTCCCACAGTACAATTTGAACCTCACTCAGGCATCCCTTCTTCATTTAAAAAGCGCTTACAATGGCTTTCTGCAGTTCTTCGAGCATGAGGTAGCGTCCGCTGGGGTAGTCAAGACTCTGGAAAAGTACATCTTCTCACCCAGTGTTAATGAGAAAGGCAAGGTTATGCTCGCACGTCTGATGAGCGGAGCGTGAGTAGTCATGAACATACCATTCGAGTATACCTCCTTAATCGTCTCCAGCGTGCATCCCTTCATTCAAGTCGGGGTACGTTCCATAGATTCATCGTCATTCCAATTAAGTACCCTAAACAAAATATGTAGTATGGTCTGGAATTCGGGAATGATGCTCTAGTATCTACAGGTCAGTTCTTCTTCGTTATACCATTTATTGTATCACTCATCGATATCAGGACTCGCTATGACCGCTGTTCATAACTCCCTTTCTCCTGATTTGTTCGAGTTCAAGCAAACGGACCCCTCTAATGGGCTATCCGTCCTGGAAATACTCGACCTCATGAACAAATCCTCCACTCTTGCACCACCCCTACCGTATGACCCAAACGCCCTCTTCAATGCACGTCTCAAAGACGCCCTGAAAGATGACAAGGAAGAGGCGATCCGCGACTTGTGCGCAAGGTTTCACGTGGACGAAGCTTCTGGGAACACAGAAGAGCTGATGTCCAAGATCGAGGAACTGACATGGGTCTCAGTTTTGCTTATGTTTGCCACCGGAAAACCAGGACGAAAACCTCGGCTTGATTTCTTCTTGATGCATCTCGTCACCTCGTCCCTTTTCCTCAGAAATTTCGTCAATGTGCTGGAAAATCCCGCACACAAAGCGATGATTGTCAAAGCGTTTTTACCTGTGGTATTGCACCTTTCACTCGCCAGAGGTCGACCAACTATCAAGCCTGAATTACTTCTGGAAGTGACCGACAAACCCCGACCACCATATGTCTCCGGCATTCCTTACAAGACGGGCGAACGGTGTATCGGTAGTCCCATCAACGATGTGGACTATAATCCCTGGCCTGCTTTGATCGAGGCCTCGTTGTATTCCACTGATTCTCATCTACTCAAGACTATGCGAACACTGATCCTCGCCGCTAGGGAGTATGACGATACTCCTCCTGGGTCGGTGATTGGAGCGTTCAAACAACACGCAGGGAGTGTCTCGAAGGAGGAGAGTCATCCTGGTATGGCTAAAGTCGATGGATCGATCTTTGTGAGGGCTGCCGGGATGTTGATGGACTATATGGGTTGGACGTCGTATGGACAGATGGAGAGAGAGGATTGGGATCGATCTGCGCTTGGGTGGGATGATGCGTGGAAAGATGAAGATTGAGATTTGTTGGTGTAATGAGTAACAGTAAGAATGAACGTTGAGCAGCAGAATTGTATGTACTTGTATATAAGTAATAAAATCAACAATTGTTGTTCAAGTAAAAGTGATTGTCTGACTTCGTGAATTTAGATTTTACTAGTTGAACCTTCGTTTTGTCTATCTTCCTAACAATTCCTCCAAGCATGATCCTGATCAGGGCATCAGAGCTGAGTGCTCCCCATAGTATGGAATGATATCCACAATATCCCTAACCTTATACTTGGACTTCAAAGCGTT